TCAGCTCTGTGACTGCAATAGTGAAATTTCTACCTTAGTGGGAGGGGAGGATGGTGTAAAAATGATGTTAGCTGATTCTAAGTTGGGAGTTAAGGAACTTTTTACGAAACTGTTAGAAGAGCCGTTAGGTATGTGCGCCCCTTGCCAGCGGCGCAAATTAGTCATCATTGACGCTTTGGATGAAACAGAGTACGAGTCCAGGGAAGATTTTCTTTATGTTATTAAGAAAGCTCTTCCTCGACTTCCCCAGTGGTTGTTGTTCTTTATCACCAGTCGTCCTGAAGATTCGGTACAGAGCAGATTAGAGAAGTACAAACCATGCATTCGGATTTGCGCAGGTGATAGCGATGAACAAGGTTTTTATCAGCAGCACGAACAGGACATTCAACTTTTTTTACGAAAGGAAATAGATTTTTCCTACCTTTCTTACTCTTTTGAGCAAGTCACAAAGAAGTGTAATGGATTGTTTTTGTATGCTTACTACATTGCAGAAGTTCTAAAAGAATCGAATTCTCACCGGGTAAGTCAGCAGACTGACCTCTTTCCCGGAGATATCGACGAATTCTTTCAGGAGAATTTCCAGCGTGTGTTTGACAAGATAGGAGAAGACCTCTACAGGAAGTTATTTGGCTGTATCATAGCTGCTCCATCGCCCCTTCCTATATCGTTTATTTCGTATATTCTTAACAGAGAAAAGTCAAATTTTGATGAGCAGAAGGCTATCGATGCCGTGTCTCTATTTGTTGTGCGAACTTCTGATGCGACAGTGAAATTTCTTCATAATCTGATTCCAATGTGGCTAACAGACAAGAAGAAAGCTCCACGAAGGTTGTTAATTGATGAAAAGGTCGCAGTTGAATATCTGAGAATGATGTTTATCGAAATTATTTCAACTGTTGTCGAAGAAACACGAGCAACAGATTTGGAAAGATTTGTTATGCACTTTGCTGTTCGCTTTCAGTGTCATCATGTTGACCAAAATTCTCTGACAAATGTTTTTAACTGGTTAACAAATTATCGGTTCCTAGAGAAAAGGATTCATAGTGGGAGAAGCGAGATCTACCATGTTATTGAAGATTTAAAGCTTGCATCCCGCTGTCTTCCCGCCGAGGAAATACAGCAACGAAATGTTCTTCAAGAAATCTCCTCAGCTCTTGAAAGCGATTTTCATGTTCTCGTAGAATGCCCTCACCTTTTGTGATCATGTTTCCGCAACACCTTAGATGGTGCTGGTGAGATTTTTTCGATCCCACAAGTGTCAGCACCGTGTTTAGAGTGGAATATTTGTGATATTTCTGCTGCGAAAACTCTTTATCAATGTAATTGCTTCGCCACTACTTCTGATAAAAAAATTTTTGCTGGCGCAAAGGGTCGTTCCCTCTTTTTCTTTGATGCTTCCACACTAGAAACATTGGGCGGACCTTTTGAAGTAAGCCGAGATGTGATTCAAAGAATAAACGGTTTAGAGTTTTCACCAGACGACAAGTTTGTATTTTTTGGACGACTTGACAAATGGTTTTCTGTTGGACGAAGTTGTGTCAAGGACTTTCGTCAGTTCTCTGAAAACCCTGGTCATCATTACTGGGGTCGGATCCTTTCTAATGGGCAGCACATGGTCGTGAAAAGGAACCATTTTTCAGATCTACCAGAGACCTGTGAAACGAAAAGGTGTATAGAAGACATACTCTCTCTTTGGGCTCTAAAGGAGATTGACGGGGGCCCAGACAAAGAATGGACTTGCTCTTTTCGTCAGTTACCAGAGATGGTAGCCGGGTTCAGTACCATGGGCATTGAAACTAGTTCCTTGCTCAGACGTCTGGGTACAAACTTAATGTCTTGTGAAGTCGATGCAATGCACGGGGCAAATTATCGTTCTTGTTACTTTTGTGACCAGCTAAAAGAGTTAAAAGAACTAACAGATCCAAGCAAAGAAACTTCTCTGAAGCATGTGCGCCAACTGATCATCAAACTCTACCGTTGGATATTCCGATATCAGGTTTGGAACCTAGAGACTGGAAGACCCCTGCTGCAGGACGTATTTAATCAATGTGTTCAATTCAATCCATTTACCTATTTTTGTCACGTGACCAGCGCTTTTGACAAGTGGGGAAAAGACATAGGTTGTGGTGGTGTTGATCAAGTGATGTCAGTGTGTAATATTGCCGTGGTTACTGCTATTGACACTTTCTTCAGGCTAAGGGTTGATTGGTCTAAGAGACCATATGTGCGATTGATTGAGAGGGAGATGGAGTGGTTGAGAGAGTTTTTGGAGGGGCTGAGGAGTTTAAAGTGCACAGAGACGAGGGATTGGGTGTTTAAGGAGACTCATGAGGAGACACTAAAGAAGGACGATTGGAAAGAGGAGGGGAAGAAGTTGACCCAAATAGTATGGTGGAGCCTGGAATTTATATCGAAGCGTGAGTTGAGGATCGTCCGTGCGATGGTGGAGCGGGAACTTATTGAAATGGTAAAGAGGGGGCTGAAGGAGGTCTGGAAGCTTAAGGTGGACTTCCCTGGGGAGGTGGAGTGGCGACCGGATAAAATGATGGTGAGGATGCTGAAGAAGCTTTGGAATCTTAAGGAGAACTTGCCTGGGGAGTGGGACCTGAGGGAAATGGTAGAGAGGAGGTTAAATGAGGTCTTGAAGCTTAAGGAGGACTTGCATGGGGAGGAGGAGAAGAAGTTGATTGAAATGCTAGGGGAAAGGCTGATGGAGGTCTGGAAGCTTGAGGAGGGCTTGCATGGCGAGGAGGAGAAGAAGTTGATTGAAATGGTAGAGAGGGGGCTGAAGGAGGTCTGGAAGCCTAAGGAGGAATTGCATGGAAAGGGGGAGAGGAAGTTGATTGAAATGGTAGAGAATAGGCTGAAGGAGGTCTGGAAGCTTGAGGAGGAATTGCATGGGAAGGAGGAGAAGAAGTCGATTGAACTGGTAGAGAAGAGGCTGAAGGAGGTCTCTAAGCTTAAGGAGGAATTGCATGGGGAGGAGGAGAAGACGTTGATTGAAATGGTAGAGAAGAGGCTGAAGGAGGTCTGGAAGCTTGAGGAGGAATTGCATGGGGAGGAGGAGAAGAAGTCGATTAAAATGGTAGAGAAGAGGCTGAAGGAGGTCTGGAAGCTTGAGGAGGAATTGCATGGGGAGGAGGAGAAGAAGTCGATTAAAATGGTAGAGAAGAGGCTGAAGGAGGTCTGGAAGCTTGAGAAGGAATTGCATGGGGAGGAGGAGAAGAAGTTGATTGAAGCGGTAGAGAAGAGACTGAAGGTGGTCCGGAAGCTTAAGGTGGACTTGCATGGGGAGGAGAAGAAGTTGATTGAAATGCTAGGGAAGAGGCTGAAGGTTGTCTGGAAGCCTAAGGAGGTATTGAATGGGAAGGAGATGAAGAAGTTGATTGAAATGGTAGAGAGGGGGCTGAAGGAGGTCTGGAAGCTTAAGGAGGAATTGAATGGGAAGGAGGAGAGGAAGTTGATTGAAATGGTAGAGAAGAGGCTGAAGGAGGTCTGGAAGCTTGAGGAGAAATTGCATGGGGAGGAGGAGAATAAGTCGATTGAACTGGTAGAGAAGAGGCTGAAGGAGGTCTGGAAGCTTAAGGAGGAATTGCAGGGGGAGGAGGAGAAGAAATTGATTGAAATGGTAGAGAAGAGGCTGAAGGAGGTCTGGAAGCTTGAGGAGGAATTGCATGGGAAGGAGGAGATGAAGTTGGGTGAAATGGCAGAGAAGAGGCTGAAGGAGGTGTGGAAGCTTGAGGAGGAATTTCATAGGGAGGAGGAAGTGACTGAAAAGATAGAGAAGATGCTGAAGGAGGAATGGAAGCTTGCGGAGAAATTGAAGAGAATTGGGGAGAAGGAGAAGAAGGCGATTGAACAGGTAGAGGAGAATCTGAAGGACGTCTGGGAACTTAAGGAGCAATTGCATGCGGAGGAGGAGAAGAGGTTGATTGAAATGGTAGAGAAGAGGCTGAAGGAGGTCTGGAAGCTAAAGGAGGAATTGCATGGGGAGGAGAAGAAGTTGATTGAAATGGTAGAGAAGAGACTGAAGGAGGTCTGGAAGCTTAAGGAGGAATTGCATGGGGAGGAGGAGAAGAAGTCGATTGAACTGGTAGAGAAGAGGCTGAAGGAGGTCTGGAAGCTTAAGGAGGAATTGCATGGGGAGGAGGAGAAGAAGTTGATTGAAATGGTAGAGAAGAGGCTGAAGGAGTTCTGGAAGTCTGAGGAGGAATTGCATGGGGAGGAGAAGAAGAAGTTGATTGAAATGGTAGAGAAGAGGCTGAAGGAGGTCTGGAAGTCTGAGGAGGAATTGCATGGGGAGGAGGAGAAGAAGTTGATTGAAATGGTAGAGAAGAGGCTGAAGGAGGTCTGGAAGCTTGAGGAGGACTTGCATGGGGAGGAGGAGAAGAAGTTGATTGAAATGCTAGGGAGGAGGCTGAAGGTTGTCTGCAAGCCTAAGGAGGAATTGCATGGGAAGGAGGAGAAGAACTTGACTGAAATGGTAGAGAGGGGGCTGAAGGAGGTCTGCAAGCGTAAAAAGGAATTGTATGGGAAGGTGGAGTTGAAAGCCATGGGGCTAAAGGAGGACTTATGCCAGATGTTGGATGAACTGTTTTCTGGCTTGTGGCAGCTAATTTGTGAGTGGACGTTGCAGCTTGACCTTGAACTCTTTTGTGATTCATTCAAGCGTGATGTTTTTCTTAACTTTCCTTTTCGAAAAGAACTAGAACAGCCGTTACTATAAAGAGTAACAAACAGTGGGTCTTAAATGTGGATGGCTATTAGCAGGGGGATGGAAGAAATACATTTGCGGCGAACAAGTTTTCAAGATCAAGATTCTTACGATTACAGTTCTGAAAAGCAGGAATACAGATTCACCCAAACAAAGTACCTGACCTTTACTTATGATGATCTCTATGTTGTGTTTTTGTCTCATGAAAAGTTACTACATGCCTTATCTCTCCAGACAGGTACTATTTTCACCAGTGTGTCCGGACGTAACTGTTGTTATTTTACAAGAGAGAGGCGAGTTGGTTATTTGTTCCGCAGCGGAACTGAAGAAAGAGCCATCTTTTTGTCTAGTTTACTTAACCCTTGCAAGTTTTTTTCTGTCTTACCTGGACAAGATGGAGAGGTAGGAGAGACGACTGCCGCGATATTCTCTTCAAGTGATACTGTGAAGTCTATTAGTTCAGAATCACTGATTACGTCGTGGCGACTGTTAGATCACAACCTTGGCTTCTCCTTCGAAAGATTTTCCGAATCAAGCTCAGCCGGATCTCGCTCGCAGGTGATCAAGATACAGAACTGCGTTTTCTCAATAGATGGAAAATTACTTGCTTTTCAGCAACACACCCAAATAAAACAATGCCTTGTTGAGGACTTTGAGAAGTCTCAGTGTATAGTATTTGAAGCAGACTTAAGTGTCACAGATTTGTGCCTGACATTCTCATTAGACGGCGTCTTTCTTCTCTTCAGTATCCGGGATAACTGCAGTGGCCAGCATTTCTATGTGTGGCATGTTCAAGAGAAAGTTTTGTCAAAATCATTTTCTTCACCGTGTTTGCTCTCTATCGACAGTTTTTGTCTTTCTTCGGATAACAGAAATCTTATCTTGTGTGGCGACGAGTATGAGATTGAGATCTGGGAATTCAGCTTGTATCCGCTCCACTTACTTAAGAGAATTTGTGTGGAGAGATCCTTCAACCCAGTGAAATTCAGTCATTGCGCTGTTTCACAAGACACCGAGCTGTTAGTGTGTTGCCTCGCAAACGTAATCTTTGTATACAGTCTTCAGGTTGCTGATATCCACTCCTCTAAGCGGGTTCTCCGTGGCCATGTTGGTAAAATTGAGTTTTGCAAGTTTTTGAAAAGGAACCGTTATCTTATTTCCTATGCTGTTGATGGAATGGTTTTCCTGTGGGATATTTCTGAGTCTAAAGCTATTGGATTTGCGCGAATTGCAAAAGGGCGGGAAAAAATCATCTGTATGGCTGTGTCACCTGATGAGGACCGAGCTGTTTGTTTTATATCTCCAAGCCGGGTATGCGTATTAAATTTTTGCAATCTAAAGTGTGCTCTGCCTGTGGATTTTTTTACTGCTCCAAGGAAAGGCGGAATAAGTACAGCTGAGACAAGTCTGCTTCCGTTTAGGCAGATTTCAGCTTCTTTGCTTGACAATATTCAACCTGGAGGTTTCAGCAATCCGGATTTGGAAGAACAGTTCTTTTTAACCCAGGACGATTTCCTTGATTCTGATGAATCTGACGAAAGTGTGAATCAGGACGATTTCGATTGATTTATTCTCAACATCATCGAGATGCTTAACATTCAAGACGCCTTATTAATATGATTTTCCGGGACATTCACCAGTCTAAGAGAACTCGAACTTTCGCTGGCAGTGGAGTGTTAACTTATCGTTGTCTAAAATTACCGTGGTGTTTGTCCAATCATGTACGATCGGAGCTGATTACCATCGTAGAATAGCAAAGTAAATAATCAATCAAGTTCTTCTTGAGCTTGTCTATTTTTTTATCCCTTTCTCATTTGTTGTTCTTCCTTTTTAGCCCAAGCGGCCATGGCCTTTATTTTGTTTCGGCATGTTGACTGGACTTACCGACCACTAAATAGCAGGCCATTTCCCTCCATTTACACTGACTACAAATCGTTCGCTGAGTGACTGTTATAATCTCAATTATCTGCTTAAAGGACAACATTTAGTGTTACTCCGCTTTGTTTCATCGTAAATCTTATCTGGACGTTAACTCTGTTTCATTCAAAGATGCAATGAGGCTGACTTTCTTTTCATTGCATTTCCGGTCAGCTGGACGTGTGTATTCTTGGTATTGACTTGCCTTTTTTGTTATTTGCTGGGAAGCAAGGATGGCTCAGTGGTGAGACCACAAGTCTCCCACGTGTGTGACCCGGGTTCAAATCCCGGCGTCGACGCAGTACGTGGTCTGAGTTTGTTGTTGGTTCTCTTCTTTGATCCGGGAGGCTTTTCTTCGGGTACTCCGGTTTTCCCCTGCCCTCTTAACCAACGCTTTCAAATTCCAATTCGACCTGGGACGCTTTGTGCATGGGCAAACAAAATAAAATTTTTATAGTTGAAACCAGATTACTTACCTTACGGCGTTCTTCAGATTGTAGTCTCGGTACTGCCCGAACACAGAATAGCTCAAATGAGACCAACGGTGCTTACTAGTAAGCCAAAAATTCCGTTATTATCGGCGAAAAATCAAATGGTACTGCACTCTTCCGGAAATTCTATTCGAGAATTTTGGTGTACCTTATTTCCCTCGTTTGGAACGGGAAGTCGGAAAATTGTGCACCATTTGATCATTTCGCCTTTTTTCAGTCTTCTCCGTGTACGAGTTATAAAGGATACATCCGCCCTGATAGAAAATCGGAAAACGGTTTGGAAATGCTAAACGTCATCCTTCCCTCCTTGCATACAAACACCAACGAAATGCCAAACCATTTCATCTTAATGTTTTTGCTGCGAAAGCGGTGATTCAATGTGCAATCCAGTGGCGGACCCACACCTTCAGATGGGGGGGGAAGGGATCATCCAGACCCTGAGATAAGGCGAAGAGCCGGTCTCAGAAAATGATTTTTTCGTCCCTTCGATCCTCCGTTTGGTCTAAAAATAAGGGGAGGGCCCACCAGTCCGCTCCCCTGGATCCGCCACTGCACCCATAGTATCGGTGATGTTTTCATTTGTAAAGTTAAGATAACATGTTTTTAGAGAGATTTAGGATCACGTTTACTGCGAACAAGAAATGTAAGTTGTACCACGTGACCAAGTTCTTTGTCTTTACTTGTCGTTTTCTGTTATTATATCTACAACAAATTACTAGTTTTACGCCCGTTTCATCCATCATGAGAATTGGTTTCGAAAGCTTTTATCTCCTTATTTCCTGTTTCTAAAAATTGTCAACATGAAGCGGAAGTTTGCCTTTTTCGGTGAACGTGATTCTAAATCTCTCTATTGTAACGTGTGAAAATATGTATTTTTTTTTCGCGAAAGCTCAGGTTGTACTTCATAGGTGTTTGTATAGTAAGAGGTTCTATTAGAATGTTAACATCGAAAAAAGTCGCCAAGCAACAGATTTTAAAGTATGCTATCTTGCGGAGTATGCAATGATTTTTCGGTCCGGTTAATAATTTTTCGTAAATGTACTTAGTGTCAGCAATTTTCTAAAGAAAAACGTCTTAATTCACATTATTGGAATTAGAAGAGTTAACCGGCAAGCGAGTAGTTCTAATTAGTCAAAACATTAGCGGTAGCTTCGAAGCATGTGAAATTATACATCTGAAAAGGTGTTTTTCTTATTTTCACCCTTACCTCATGGATGTATGTCTGTGGTGGGTGAGAGAAAAGAACTAGGTATAGAAAAGTTTTGCAGTAAAATGTGATTATGTAACGAATTTAATATATATGTAAGGATTTTTGTTAGAAAAAAAGGAAGAAAATAAGTGAAATGACAAACGTCATCCTCCACGAGGATGCGTAGGATACGTGCTAAGGATGTAGTATCGGGTAACTCTGTTCTAGGCTTACAGTCTTACAGGAGTTAACAGCGTGATGAAAATGAATTTGTGATTTTTTAATTTGATACTCAGTAAATTACCATGTATATTACTAGATATTGTCGTTAAGGTATCTTTTTACTCAAAAATGTCTTAGGTGGATACTGTAATTTGCTGTAATTTTACCATCCATATATTAAAGAAAATTTTCAGTGTTAAAAACAAGACTCGCTTGTGTCCTGACACGAAATGTTTGACTTGTTATTCTTACAATTTCTCACCCACAGTCAGGTTGTCTTTCCTCAGTAGAAATGCTAATTATCCCTTCTCCAGCGATTTCTAGGAGTAGAAAGGCAGTCTCGTAGTCTTATTAGGTAGAATTGACCCAGAAGTTTTAATTTTAGTAGCCTTCACTGGCTGCCTTCAAACACCATAGGAAATTACTCAATTCTTAGTGTAAAGGTGACCCTTGATATTTTGAGGGAGAGAGGCTGATTTCAGAACAAAATATTTTGCAAACCGACATGGACGAATTAAAAGACTCCGATCCTGCATTGCGTTAGTTAGTGTTATGTTCTTGTAACATTTCAAGTTTAAATGCGACACTTAAAATCTAGCACTTAAAAGTCCTATATTCACACCAGAAAATTAGTAAAAAGAATCGGTCACAGCAGTAGGTACGGAAAAAGATTCTTGCCTATTAAAGGGGGTGGGGAGGCTGGTCAGAGACAACACAGTACAGAATAAGCCTAATACGGTGCGATATTTTCTGAATGGAATTGCAAGTCTGAACGAATCATGCCATTCCACAAGACATTAATTAAAAGCGTAATCCAATGAGCGAAGCAGGTATGCTCGAGTTCATAGTTTATCCACTCCAAAAAATAGACTATCCTGATAATTCTACACTTAACTCTTAGTCAAGTTACATTTGCAGCTTATATTATAAAGAAGTTAGCAATTGAGAAGGTTATCAAGTTTATTTGGATAGAAACTCCTGATTCACTTAGGTAACTGCTATTACCAATAATCACTTAGTTCTCTGGTGTGCTTTTCAAATCAGGTGATGTCGTCAGTAGTTGTTTTACACGCCTCCCATTGTTTGAGTCCGTCGTTGATTCAAATCCTCATTGCAATACAATGGTTGTCGTCAGCAGTTCCTTATTTACCATTAATAAACTGTTCCAATTGGCAGTGTTTTCGCATAAAGGCTCTATGCCAGGTACCACACAGAAAACACACGAAAGGTAATGGGCAAAATTCTGGTGACAGGGAAGCGCTTAAACCTAGGGGTAAGGGGACACGATCAAGTGGTACCGGGGGTAGCCACCCTGGACAGGAGTCCTGATCAGTCTCCGGAGGTGAAGCCCATATCCTCCAGTCACTAGGAACTAAGGGGAACCAGGAGGAGTGGCCCTCTTGGGTGGAGCACAGATAAGGCGGGACCGGGGGTACACACCCTGGAGTGGATATTTTCCAGACCTGTCCCCAAAGGCTAAGCCTTACTGTGGGGTAAAGTGCAGCCAGGGATTGCACTTCCCTACGACTCCTTTTATTGGGAAGAAAGGCAGCAGTTCCACATCCCGGAACCTAATGAAGGAATGAGACCTAGTCCAGTATAACACTATAATATAAATGATTAATGAATCTTAAGGATACATATAGATGTAGGGGAATGAAATAATGATCTGCTTGAAATACGTTCTGGTCGTGCTAAATATATAGTGAACATAAGTAATAATCGAAGAAGAGCTAAACAAAGGTTCCAGTCCGAACAAAGGGTGGCCTGGGTGGGAGGGAAAAACGCTGTTGTGAATGAACCGAAGCCCTAAGAGAACTTACTGGGAAAGGACAGTGTCCGGCAAAAAAAGGAGCACATGTGCATGATGAGCATGTGATAATATGAAAGGAACCTTTTTGGAGTCTACTAAATATATCATGCTAAGTTACAGTGGACTTTGCCAAAGAAGAAAGATACATTGTAATCAAACAACTAGTTACTGTTCATTGTTCTTCTTGTACTTTGAACTAGTATCTACCATTACTTAGTACAAAAGCCAAATGTTGCACGTTGTGTGACATAAGAACAGACATGATTGTTGCTAATTTGTCAATAAGTGTGCTTTCATAGGGCATAATTCTCAGGTTTATTCACATCAGTTTATGCTACGTATACCATAAAATTGAACTTTTGACATTTGCCCATAATACACCAGATTTGGGTAGTGCTTCTACTTGCTTGAAGCAAAGTTCCCTTGTGGCACGACCAATAAGAAGCACTACCCAGATCTAGGTAAAGTATGGAATTTCTGTGCTCATTCCTCAGACGTCATTTTGCAAAGCTGTTATTTCACTGTTCATACAAATCTTTTAGTATTTCATCAATTAAAAGAACTGCATAATATCGATCACGACTGAATGACTCAATAATACCGTACAGACAACATCGTGTTTATGTTAAATTTCTACCAAATGACTCAAGTCGATAATAGTCAATGGTAATCAATAACAACCAATAAA